CCAGAGTGAGAAACCAGGGCGACGTTAAAGGCAAATACACGCGAAATAAAGACAAGAATGTTTGGAAACTACTTTACGTGACAATTTCACACATTTAATTAAGTAAAATAATATCAACAAAAGAATGGTATGACCATTCGAATTTTCTGTTAGAATATCAGAAAAATGATATTCTATAAGACATGAATAAAATGACTAAATTTTTTTTTGTTTTTTTTTCGTCGAAAGGAATATTGAAATATTGTACTAGCTGTACCATTTATCAGCGATATAAATTCAAGATATGACAATAACAGTTGAAACTCCGTAAATCCTACATTGACAGCGTTCGAAAGAACAAGAATTGATCATCCATGCGTTATAGTCAATAATAAGCATTCGTGATCACGACATCATTAATCTCACGTGGGTGATTACGTAGGCATTTCGTAGGCGTGAATTACAGGTGTCGTTCGACAGTGGGATGCTACAGGCAACTTGGATAAGTCCGATCCAAATCGCTGTACGCCGCGCCGGCCGGCCGGCGTATTTTCTCCCAACATGACACAGAGGTTGAAATTTATCTTCCTTGGCCTTTTGAGAGATTTTTCTCTGATCTCGTCGACGACGACGATGTCGCGCGTGATGAACCAAACGCAAACAACGCATTCGCGCGATCTCCGCTAGATAATATGACGTACGTTTTCGCGTCTCTCCGAGATAAGAGCTTCGCGAGAGAAGACTCGAGAACGATTATGCGCACTATTACCGATTAAAGACGAACAATACAGTCGTGCCGCGGTAGGAATGCAGCTCGTAAATGTCACGGGCGGGGAGCCGAGACCTAACGGAGAACTTGCATGATGTTTATTGCTCTTCTCGCCTTGCGAGACGCACGTCCCCGTCGTGGACTTAAACCTGCTGAATGAAAAGTGCGCCGACATTACGTACGATTCTCGTCGTGTGACTGTGGCTCCGAGCTACGGATCCTGCGAAATCTCTCTTTACGAGATGCTGTGACGTGATTGCGTCTTGACAAACGATGACAATGACTGTCTTTTGAGAAGAGCACTTTACACGATTTATGTTGTACATTTTTAAAAAAATGTAAAAAATAAAGAAAGGAAGGCTGTGACAAAAAGAAAGGGCTATACCACGTACAATGGACGGGAGAGATGTTTGAACGTGTAATTACTATATGTAACTTATCTTTATGAAATGGACATTCCATACCGTAGAATTAAATTAAGACCGTACTATCGAGCTGTATTCTACACGTAGTTAGCTATTACTCGTATATATAACTGTTATTTATAGATAATACATACATTCGAGTTCTGAAACGGCGATATTCGAATTTGATTAAAAGCTTACGGGTTATCGCGGATAAGGGGAGGGGGGGGGGG